ATTCAAAGCGTGCAGATTGAACCCAGGCCTCCCGTATACCAGTCGAAGACACTAACCACTGCTCCAACACGCCCACAACAAAGTTACTTTCTGACATGGTAAGTAAATAATTTTGCTTTCTAAAGTTTAGTTGGCTATACATTTATTTATAGGCCCATGCATCATTTTTATCTCTTAGTTACAGCCTAAAATGAATGTTGCTAGCTAGCATCCAGCTTAAGTTAGCTAACATTAGGCTAATATCAAATCTAGTACCTTAGCTAAATAAACCATTATAAATAGTCTCTGTGTCATTGATCAACATTAATTGTGTTGTAAATTGTGTCATTTTATAGTGGGCTCACTATATGATTCAAAGTGAGATTATTGTTCATAGTTACACATAATCTATTAATGTGGCTGTGTGGACCCATTCTGCATGATATGTTTGATAAGTCTTGCCTTTGCCTTGCCTTGCCTAGTAAACAAAAAGAAAAAGTAATTGTTCACCGAGCTGTCTTGTCTTTTTAGGACAGTATGGAAGTTGATACCACAAATTGTCATGGTTTGAGGTGCTTCATCTGTGGTGGTCCTGGGACTGAAATGCAAAAACTCTCAAAAGTCACTCAAAAAGGTTATCAGCAGCTATTATCTTATTCTGAGATCGTAGATGATGCAATGCTGATCAACAGACTACATGAGGACTGGAATGATGGAGATGACCCCAAGCTGAAGTACCATTTGGATTGTAGAACCGAGTTGTACCATCGTTCGAGAAGTGTATCCATTGCGAAACGTTCAGGTTTTCTTTTTCATTATGTCAATGTTGTTGCCACTTTCTGTCAATCATTCCGTTCAACTCATCATTTCAATCCAATACATTTTGTGGCATGAATAAAAGCTCACGAAATTGTCTTTCATCCATCCAAAGGACAAGATGCTCAAGACCAACGATCAGACAGGATGAAAAGACGCAGCGTACTGTCTGGGCCAAGTACTTCAAGTGCTGGTAGCTCCACATTCCAAACCCCATCAGCACACCTGGTCTACCGTGATGTTTGTATCCTCTGCAATAAGAGCATCAATGTTGAAATGCTTGTAAAATACCCTAGTAAGTTGCCTGTCTTCTACATTCTCATGAATGAGTTTGAAAGGTCTTTCTTTTTTTCAAATTAAAACTCTCTTTAGTAAATCATATATGTGGCTATAACCCAGACACAGCCCGGAAGTTGTATCGTGCACCTGACAATCGCTTCCAGGACAGACTGAAAAGGAATTTGTTGGAGACAGCTGTGAGACGAGGAGATGCCTGGGGAGTTGAAGTTGCTGGTCGCCTGTCTGGAATAATAGATTTGGTAGCTGAAGAGGCACTGTATCATCTTCGGTGCAGGTCCCAGTTCGAGAACCCAGTTACAAACTCTGGGGTAATATATTTTTTTCAAGACCAGAAGTCCCAGACTCTGTAGACAAGGTTCTGAAGCCAATCATTTCAATTAAAAGTTGTTTTTCCCCCACAGGTCGGACGGCCTACAGATGAGGAGAGGCAGTTGCTGTTTGAGAAACTGTGCAAATGGATGGATGAAGAAGTGGAGCATGGTGTAACAAGTCTCGCTGAGATCCACATGAAGATGGAAGAACTTGACCCCACGGAGGACAAAAGTCTCACATATGGACGGATGTATCTTAAAAAAAAGCTTCAGGAACATTATGAGGAGTCTCTCTGTTTCACATTAGATGAGGGAGGAAGATTCATTGTGTGGCTAAAAGACACTACAGAGGCAATCCTCCGAGACTACCATCAGCAGGTCATCAACCCCTCACAAACCATGGATGATTCTGCACTTAAAGACCTCATAATTTCCACTGCCATTCATCTGATCTGTGGAGACTTGGCAAGAGTTTCACTCGACACAAAGCAGTATCCCTCAGTAGACAGCATGACCAATACACAGAGCCAACTTGCTCTGATTCCTGACAGCCTCAAGCAGTTGCTGAAGGCAATTGTAAAAACTGACGAAAAGGTGGCAATGTGGGGACAGAACCTGCTGAAAGCATACCGCCCTCGATCAGGAGTTATGCCCTCCCAACTTGGACTTACAATTCAGCTTGACCACATGTTTGGATCAAAGTGGTTGATTGACCGTATTCATCACTTAGGATACTCTGAATCATATGTTGAGCTCCATCACTACAAGTATTGTTACTTGAACGTGAAAAATGGATGTGGTAGCATGGACCAGGATACCATAATCACAGATGAAGATGGTATAGATGTTGTGGAGCATGAGGAAGCAGAGGTCGATGCAGTCCTATCTGCAGAACAGCCAGAGGAGCAAGAGGAGAGTGGTTCTGGAATGCATGA